CCCCAAAACCCCAAACCCCAAAACCCCAAAACCCCAAAGAATGCCATTTAAATAAAAGTAAAATAATCATGATTATTAATAAATTAAGATTTGTGATAAATTGTATGTAATCGATGTAATTTGTACTAATTTAATTGCAAGGAGATGTGAATGAATTAATTTCATGTTTCGAATACTTTCACTACCTATGCAACATTTTTGCGACAGATTGGACAGATATTCTTAATCTTGCTTGAACATTCAAAGCATACGCATTTATGCCCACAGGGCACCAGGACTGTATTGTTCTTGTTACTAAAGCATATCTTGCATTCATCTTAGGCTGAAGGTTTGTGCACTAAGGGTGGTTGTTTTGGCAAGACTTCCTGAGTTTTGTGACTTCTAATAGATTGTCTATTGTTATTCTGCATTGGTATCCTACTTCTAGAATTAGCATCAGTCTAATCGAATTCGTGAACGCTCTCTTCCTGATAATCTTCATATTTATAGTCATAATTTTATTAGGGTCTATTGGGTTTTATTTGAGCATTGCTATTGTTTTGCTTTGGATTGATCTTAAGTACATTTTTGTAATTTCTCATGTCTAACACAATTTCATAGTTCAATTCAGGAATACTTTCCTTATTTAGAAAATTCAATAGATCTTGTTTATTGATACCCATTTCAATACTCTTTTAAATGAATTCTTCCTTTAGCTTTTCAAAATATGGAGGTAATTCTTGTTGTTTATTCTCCTCTTTTAATGTTCTTTGCCTTGATAGCTATCTCTTTATAATTTACTTTTACTCCTCTCTTACTTGCTTAGGGACTATCTTTGCTTTTTCAAAATAACTTATAAGCTGGTTGGGCACCTCCTCTAGAGTTTATTTGGCTAATTAAATTGGATTATTTTTGAATTCTCTGAATGGGACAAACTGTACAATATCTCTTTCCATATATTTTTTATGTACATTTGAGTATAAAGGCTCATCATCGGCATCTAGCACATCCATACTCTTAAAATTCTCATTGCCAACTCCAACAATAATTATGCTCAGGGGTAAATTTGAACCTCTTACAACCTCATCAATAGTCTTTTATATATCATTAATAATACCATCTGTGATTAAGAGGAGGATAAAATATTGCTAGTTTTCCTGAGATACTTATTGGTTGCTTGCAACATCGACAACCATTTTCAAAACCTCACTGAAGTATGTTGGACCATACAGTTTTATATTCTTGCAAGCATGCTAATAAGCTTCAATCACCCCTTCTATTCCATCAACTTCTGGATTAAAGATATCGCCATTCACTGCGAAGCAATGTGAAGCTCTATCCTTGTAAGGTGGAATAGAGCCCCCAAAACCATAGAAAGGTATCTACTTGTCAGAGTCGTAGTACTATAGAATTTATCCGACTGAGTTAATGGCTTAAATATACTCATTCCTTTGATAATCGAAATAATGTAAAGAATCAGGTTATGTTGGCTCACCATTCGAAAGAGTAAAGTCGACAGCAATAGATAGATTAATCTGGCATCCTCCGAATACATATTCCAAAAATGAGTATCTTTTGAAAAATTCATATTTAAAAATCTGTACAGAGCCAATCTTTTTCTAAATTTTGAATACATCAATTTATCCATTGCCCTCTCTAATTTACCTTAAAGTAAATTATCCAGTTCCTAAATTCTTATGATTATTATTCTTTTAGGACTGATAAATTTCTATATTGATTGGTCTATCTTCTTCTTCGTTTGATAATGCAGATGTTAGCATTTTAAATGGATTCCATCTAAAGCTAAAGTTACCTTGCTAAACAGGCTCTTTAATCTCTGATTTGTACATCGGAATCGATTCTTTATTTGGCAGAGTTTTGCAAATGATAAAAAATAGGAATCCTGACTGGGCGAAATTACCATTCAATTGCAACTCAAGCATCTCATTACTGTTTCCTTGTACTTCTTCACCAGTAATAACAATAAAACCATTTTTCCTGTATTTCTCCTTGTCATTTTGTAAAGGCACTCTTAGCCTTTAATCTTTAGAGGTTACAATCTCATGAAGCATAAACTCATATGATCCCACAAAGTCATGACTTTCCAAACTGGCTCTTGCAGTAAAGTCATCAACATCATATACAGCAACTCTAAATTTCTATCTTTCCTCAAAGTGATACTCAACCGTGAATTACTTAATAAATTTAGGGTTGAGATTATCCATGATCACTTCTGTCCTTCCAATTTCGTGCCATACGTTGCTATTAATAGTAAAGACTCAGAACTTAAAGCTTACCCTTTTTATTAGTAAATTACGCACATCGCGTCAGTCCTAGTAAATGTATCTAAATTAGGCAAATTTTCGCAGGAGAATGTTAAATTCAGCATACTAAGCAGATTTCCTGCCTAATTCATCCTGTCTTTAGTCGCAGCTAATACAGCTTCATCAAGATCTCTCCCTATTCCAAACTTTTAATTGCTTGAAGCAATGGATCCAGTATTTTAGTGCTTTCTACAGCAGGTGAAAGTATCACCTATAGCAGCTCCCATATATATTTTTTAAGATTGATTAATGATAAATTATCTGATAAAACAATTAAAATCTTTGTATTTATCGTAAAATTATGTGAAATTCTTATATTATCTTACCGATAATTTCTTTTTGATAATATCTTATGGGGTTTTGGGGTTTTGGGGTTTTGGGG